CCGTTTTTTTGTAAGGTTAGTTTCAGGTGGTTGAGTTCTGTCTGTAGATGTTCTTTGTCAGAGATAGTGAAGGCTCTATGCACTAGTGAGTTGATTGCTGACTGTTTTTGTGCCGGGTGGTGGTGCGATTCAGCATGTAGGTACCTGTCTGTGTGTGTTGGTTTTCTGTACACTTGATGATACCCTAAGGTACCGTCAGCTTTCTTGGAGACAAGAACATCTAGGAAGGGGAGTTTTCCGTTTTCCTCTATATCCATGGTGAAGTGGCTATTTGGATGTTGTTTGTTGAGGAAAATAAGGAATTTACGGAGATCTGCTCTGCCGTGTCTCCATATTACGAATGTGTCGTCTACATAGCGGAACCAAACTTCTGGCTTTTTCGGTGTTTTTCCGAGGGCCTCTTTCTCGAAGTGCTCCATGAAGATGTTGGCGATTACAGGAGAGATAGGGGAGCCCATTGCCGCTCCTGAAGTTTGTTCATAAAATTGGTTGTTGTAGGAGAAGTAGGTGGTTGTTAAGCAGTGCTCTATTAGCGGGATGAGGTCAAAGGGGACTTTGTGTGATGCCTTTATTATGTTTAGTGTGTCTTTTATTGGTACTTGTGTGAAAAGGGATTCTACATCGAAACTTATGAGCAGGTCTGTGGGATGTAGTCGGATCTTTTTTATAAAGTCCGTCGAGTTAGTGATGCATGATTCAGTTTTTCCAGTGAGGGGTTGTAGTGTTTGTGCTAGGAAGCGGGATAGGCTGTGCGTCGGGGAGTATATGGCGCTGACAATCGGTCTGAAGGGAATGTTTGGTTTGTGTACTTTTGGTAGTCCGTACAGTCTTGGTGGGAGAGGATTTGCAGGTTTTAATGTCGATTTGGTTTTACTGGGAACGTTGCTTTCCTCCACTAGGGTCTTGGTTTTTTGTGCGATTGTATTAGTCGGATCTTTATCAAGCTTTTTGTATGCTTTGTCCGAGAGAAAGTTCTTCATCTTTTTCTTGTAGTCTGATGTATTTATAACTACTGTCGTGTTGCCTTTGTTGGCTGGGAGCACGATGATGTCTGTGTCCCTGTTCAGGTCTTGGAGGGCCAATCGCTCTTGTCTAGTGATGTTTGGTGGAGGGGGTTTGGCTTTGGAGAGGATTAAATACATTTTCTTTATTTCGAGAATTTCAAAATTTCTTTCCCCCCTTTTTCTTTTTCACTGCATTCTTATCTGGATTTAATTCTGGTATTTATACTCTCGAGGTGAGGAA